TTGTCGAGTCGTGGACTCTTAGAATTTCCTATTGATCGTTTTTCTCCAGTTTCAGAGTTTTCGGACCCGGTTGCTGCCGAACTTGTTCGGGGTATATCTCTCTGCTCGGGACTCGGTTTTTGATGCCGTTTCTTCCGTTGTTCATATTTTCTCATTTTGAATTTTTTTTATTCACAGAATTTTTCCGTTTGAAAGCGTTTGCTCAAAATCCACTTTTCCAGACTCGGCAGGGCCCGTTCGGGGCACTTTTTGAGATTTCTATAAAAGGGGAATGAGATATTTCATTTTTCATCTTCCCCACTCTCCTTGCACGACCTGAAGCAGCCATGGATGCCCATGGAGCTGCCACCTTCTCTCTACTCCTTTGATATACTTTTCCTAAGTGATATTTCTTCGGCCTTCACGTTTATCGTTCCATTCGACGTGCTCTACCATTCCCCCTTATTAGAATCCATGTAGATCGTGTTGTCCCCGACAATACCCTTTGATTTTGGTGGATTCAGAACACTTTTCTTCTAGTGGGGAATTGAGATTTTTATCTCAAATTGAGGTAGAGGGTGTTATGATTTATTTTCTTGTTATATTACATGTTTGTGATGCTTATACAACTTGATTGCATGTTTGAATTACAAAATCTAGAGATTTTATTATTTATTTTTCTTGTAAAGGATTTAATTTTCCCGGTAGTCCATAACTTTGCTTAAACATGTGGCATGATAGAATATTACCCTTTGACATGTTCATTGACACATATTAAATCTAGATTATTTGGACAAGTATTGAAGTTTTTATTTAATATTTATTTTGAATAAAATATTAAATCATGTGGCCTTAACTTGCTTGAAATCAATATGTGTTAGCATATTATATTAGGCCTTGGCATGCTCTTCAACATACGTGAATTTGAGAGAAATTGGAAGTGTTTTGAAATCTAGTAATATTTAATTAATAAGATTAATTAAATTGCTCCAAGTGTACTATTCATCCCGTTGGATTTTCAACTTGATATTCTTGATGTGCTTGCCATATACTTTCACATATATTAAATCTAGAATATTTGATTAGGTTTTGAAACATATCATTTAATTAATTTCTTTGTTTGAGATTTAATCCTCATGATGATATACAACTTGGAATTAAAGTGTGGCATGGTAGTAATTTAGGCCTTGATATACTTGTTAACATATATTAAATTGGAATCATTTGAATAAGAATTGCAAATTTTATTTAATATTTTTCTTTTGTGAAAGTTTAATTCACATGGTTATAACTTGAATGAAATAAACTTGTGATGTAATATTACAATAGGCCTTGACATGTTCCCTAACATATATTAATTTGAGAATATTTAGATGAGTTTGAAAATCTAGAGATTTTAATTAAAAGGATTAATTAAAATCTATCTAATGGTTCCCTTGGCTTAATTAAGTTTTTAACTTGATATTTGTAATGACCATGATTTGTTTACTAGCATATATTAATTTGGGATTATTTGAAATTGTTTTAGAACTTTAGGATTTAAATTAGCATGATTTAATTAAAATTCTACTTTATTGTTCCAACAACCTAATTGAGTTTTAGAATGGATATAGGTGATGACCATGCTATGTCCTTTAATATGTATTAATTTGAGGTTATTTGGAATTGAATTGGAATCTAGAGAATTTAATTGTGTTTATTTAATTAAATTCTATCTAATTGCTCCATGGAATTTAATTGCGTCTTGGAAGTTGTTTCTATGCTTAAATCATGGACTTGGAGTTGTTGCATATCCACTTAGTTATATTTGAGCAATTGATGACATTGTTGTTATATTTAAATTCATGAGTTTATGCTTTCAATATTGAATGATTTTGTTATAGCGTGTTACGAATCGCACACTGAAGATTCGACATTTGTCATGCCATAGTAATTGTGGACTTAGAGCATGTATTGTATGTGTTTTCAAATTTGGTTGTGCTTGGTAGATAGTTGATATCTTGTATATGCATGTTGATATATACGTTGTTGCACAACTTGTTGATTTGGAAACTTGGGGATGTCGTTGTTTGGCTACAGTTAGGACTTGGTTCTAATACGTGCCTTCTGTGATGACCCGAACCGGATCCAGGAAGCAGAAAGAGCAAAATGGCCTCAAGAGATGTACATCATCCCTAAGTCACCAAGATGACTCCCCATGAAGCCATGGAACTCAAACAAAATAAGTACGGAGGCAACAGTTCACAAACGGACAAGAATGAGCCAAAGGGCAAAATGGTCATTCCACACTAAAATGGGTACCACCGTACACACCATTGGAAAGACAACAAAAAATGAACAAGGTCGGAATCAAGAATTACTTGATTCTGAGTCCGGACGGAAAAGATACGAATTTAAAACCAAATGGCCTTCACCGTTTAAAGGTTACCACGAGCCTATCTCACTAAAACTGGAATAACTCTCACTATGGGTGGATTTTTGATGAGTGGTTAGTACCAATGAAAAGCTAACTTCGAGCTTTTGAATTTAGAATCAAGAATGGCTAGATTTGGATTAAAAACGAACAAGATATGACCTTCTGAAGTTAGAATAAGAAAACTGTCCAAGGAAAATTGGAAGGAGAAAGCTCCGGGGAGGATCGGTCGACCGACGGCAAGGATCAACCGGCTGAACCTCAACCTTCGGTCAGCCGAACCCCAATGATCAGCCGGCCGAAACAAGATTTTGGTTGCTGGAATGGTCTCGAGGCTTGTCAGCCAACTAATGATGCTCCATCAGCCGACTGACACATCTGCTGCAGCTCAGAAAAGCTGCTCCAATGTGTGTGTGTGATGCTAGGTCCATTTCTAAGGCTCTCTAAGCTTTCTACTTGATCCGAACACATTTGAAAACATTTTCTAACATCATTGAAGCATCTAAAACATACCGAAACAAGGAGGAACTCAAATGACACCCTATGGAGCAGTTGTTCATAAAAATTCATTAAAACTTCCAAAAAATAGGTCAAAAGTTAAAACTCAAGGTTTTTGTGAAATGTGGACATGCACGCGAATGTAAAAAGACATTTAAGACGCGTCCCAATGGTCTGCAGCCTCAAAATGGCCTCAATGCAAAATATGACCTCTCAACAGCCAAAAATGCTAAAAAAATGGAATAAATGGAACCACAATGCAAAACCTAGAATGAAATGGTGTTTGGCCTTTGGCCACACCTCATACATGATCATAGAATCCCTGTGAAAAAGAAGGAATCGAAGTCCCACACCCGATGCAAAAGTTATGAAGTAAAGACTTAGAATTTTTCAACATTTTCATAATGACTTTGAAAGTAAAAGTGCATAGAATACAAGTTACATGTTGTTGGCCTCTGGCCTCATCTTATACATGTTGAATACAATAAAAGGGTGTACTTATGTACACATTACATATATGGAATCAAAGAATACAAGTTTTATACAAAAGGCTATGACAATGGAATTTTCATGCTAACACTTGCATGAAATAGAAACTGAAAAGCTAGAAGCTATCCCACTAAAAAGCAAGCACCACGACCCCAAGTCTTCATACCTGATCAAATCCCCCAGTAACTTCGGGTGAGTAAACAAGTTTACTCGTAGAGAATGAGCATGCATTGACTCGATTTCTTTAGAGATTTTTATTACTGATATAGTTCAAAAGGGATCATGCCACCTAACGTCTATGTCAAAGATTAGACTCAGGGATCATCTTAAGCTACCATGGAGTATAAACAACAAGAATCATGATACATCTATGTATATGAAATGACTCAAGGTAGGGATAATCCAAGGAATACGACAAGTTTATAGTTAACATGAATCACATTATCAATGTAATTGAACAACATAAAAGCATGTTATACAAGGTAACAAAAATACAATTCCTCAAAGCCATCGACTTGAAATCTAATGCATGAAAACAACAGAAGTGGGTCATGCCACCTAACGTCTATGTTCCAATTGAATCTATAGGATCATTCCTAAGCTATATTAGAACTGTAACGCCCCGAATTTTTTTCTAAAGATTTTAAATTTTATACTCCTGATTTTTAGTTGTCAACAAAATTGATTATTTTGTTTTAATTAGAGATTTACCAATTGGAGGTTGGATTATTGATTATTGATTATTGAATTGGAAATTTACCCAATTAAAAGATTTAATGGGTTTAATTATTGTTGTCATAATTAATTTGATTAATTATGATTTAAGGCTTATCAATTGTAAATTGATTATTTGGTTTTAATTGGAGATTTGCAATTTATATTTTGTATCATCTGCTGGAGGCAGCCGAATTAATGCGATTTGGTTACACAATTATATATATAAATATAAATATAAATATATGATGGAAGGAAAATGGTGGGCTGCCGAAGTGGGAAGTGAGAAATGGAAAGAAGGATATGGTTTGCTTGCTTGCGGGTCCCATTTTAAGGAATTGAATTAGTTACAATTATATATATATATATTATATTTATTTTGTGCAAAGAACATACACTGCCAGCGAAATTAGAAATGAAGAAAGGATTGTGATGGTTTTTTTTTTTTTTTTTTTTGGGTCCCACTAATGACTTTTGGCCCAAAGGTTTTTACAGAATGATATTTTAGAGAGACATTGTGTGTTTGTTTTTGTCAGATGAATTTGTGGCTGCCGAAGTAGGAGGGAAAAGGGGGCGAAATTGATAGTGATAATGGGCCCCATTAAATGAGATATTATGGGTCTTGATTTGTTACATTGAATATATATAGTATGTATATATATAGTTTCATTTGTGATGTCTGCTGAAGGACTTCACCCATCCGAAAATGCAAGAAAAGAAAGAAAATTTTGAAATGGTGTTAGTGGTGGGCCTATTAGTTGATATTTTGGTAAAATATTGCTTTGTGCACATGGGTATCGTGTGTACAATTAATGTAAAGAGAAATTAGAGAAAGAAAGTGGCAGCAAGTGTCTGCAGAAAGCAAGAACTGTGATGATGGTGTCGCGCAGGGTCCACTTAGTGATAAGTTTGCAATTGTTTTGATTTTGTTGTATGGTGACCTGTTGTGCTATGTCATTTGCCTATATATATTGGTCTATTTTGGTGAGTAAACAGAAGAGAAAAATTAAAGGGCAAAGGGCCGAGATTTTATTTGAGCAGAGAGCCGAGATGGACTTGAGGCATGATGATCCAGTATTGATTTATTCTTTTAAAGAGTAGGGTTCTTTATACCTTGAATTGCCTGGGTGATTTTATCTCAAATATTTTGTTAATGTTGTTTTGTTAAATTGCATATATATATTTTTTGTTCAAAAATATATTTATATTTTGTGAACTAATTTTCATGAAACCTCTTTGAGATTCTTGTTATGGTTTTTCCTACTAAGACTTCCCCCGTCTCACCCCCCTATAGTTTCAGGTACCGAGGATAAGCTTGGATTGCTAGTTGCGGGATTAGGTGGAAGAGCAGGAGTTGAGGAATTAAATTATTTTATTTAGAGAATTTTCTGTATTTATTTGAGGAAATTGATTTAGTATAAATTTAATTAATTTGAGATGTTGTCTTATTTATTTGAGAAAATTTGATTGATTTTGTATCAATAAAGGATATTTTATTTCTTTTGAGATCCTGGGTGTCTTTTATGAAGCATTTTGATTTAAATAAATCGAGAATTTTATTTAGAAAAATTCGGGGCGTGACAGGAACATCAAAACACAAATCACAATATCGATTCCATTAACTAACATTGGAACCTCCAATACAATGCATAAAGCATGATTTCTTAAAGTAAACATCTTGAAACTCAAAATGGGAAATCATATAAGGAACAACAAGTTACGATATCATCTAGTTATCAACTTGAAATGAAATGTGAAATCAAACAAAGTGGATACTTGGACGTCACGCCGGATCAGACCGACACCATAGTTACTGTTGACCTTAAGGATTCCATCAAAGGACAATCTAGAGGTTTTAATGATAACAAACCATTAATGGTGTTTAAGGACTAATGTTTACATTGAGTGTTATATAGATTATTCATATTCAATGAAGAACCTCAATGAAGATCATAAAAACCATTCTAAGTATTCCATTATTCAAGATCACATTAAGGAAAGAAATGGATATAAAGAAGAGCTGAAGTCGCAAGGAAAGATAACTTAGATTACAATGATTAAGAAAGCTACTCAAAGAAAGGAACAAAGCAAGAATTCCTCAAAGCCTAAATGATCATGGACAAAGCTTGAAGAAAGGGGTAGATAGCTTGGTGAGTGCTAGCTTAAATTGTAAAGTTATTTTTGAAGTAACTTCATTTGAAAGCTCATCTCTATAGGACCATGCATATCATATCATCATTTATATGTTCCAATATCCATTAGCAGTTGACTATGCGCTTTATTCATATACAATTGACATATGAAGTCTTTGATAAAGAGTGAGTTAGTTCAAGCTTGCATAAGCTTTGAAAGAACTCATCACTTGTGCTAGAAATGCTAAGACCATGCACATTAATCATAATATTTATTTTGGTCTCTATAAAGAAAAGGAAAAGGCATTAAAATTAAATTTTCATCTTTAAAGCCCTTGTGACCATAATTTGGTAAATGACTGCAGGACACAATGCACTAGAAATTTATCATCTTCATATGTCCCTAGACTCTTAGAAACAGGTCTTGAACTAAATTGAACCATTCATCAAAGTCCTAGGTGCTAGAAAGATGGATATCTCAAAAGAAGCAATTTTCAGCCCACAAAAATTTTAGACCAACCTGTACTAAAACTGCTATAACTATTTTTGTAGTTGGATTTTTTAAGAAAGGCTAGGTTCATTAGAAATATGACTTCGAGCCCTTAAGTTTAGACTCAAATTTCACCTAGAAAGGATTTGAATTGAATGAGATATGAGCATTACAAGATGCATGTTTCTGGTCTGCGAAATTCCTAACCAGGTTGCACTAAAACGGCCATAACCATTTCTGTGGTTGGAATTTTTGAGTAAGGCCGGTGGCATTAGAAAGCTGACTTCAAGGTAATAAATTTAGACTCAAATTTCACCTCATTTGGAGTATAATGGACCGAGTTATGTCCATTTGAAGTCATGCTCTTTTCTGTCCAAATAGCAAAAATCCAAGTTGAAGCTCATACATGTCGACCGGTTTGACACACATGTCGACCGGTATCTAGGCAGTAGCAAATGTCCAAATGGAGCTCAGTAGATGTCAACTGGTTTGCAAGAGATATCAATTGGTTTGCAAAATACATCAACCAGTTCAAGCCAAGATGTCAACCGGTTTATCCATATGTGGACCGGTTTGGTCGCAGCTCTGCAAATTCAAATTTCCAATGGCCGTTTTAACCATTTGACTTCATGGGACTTTACCATTATGCCCCCAAACGGCTATATTCTTCCAAGGACCTATAAATACACATTGTATGCACATTGTGGGCATGCAAGAGAGCCATAAAGAGACCTCCCTTTAGGGATGGAAATTGTCTATCATTTTTTATAGAAACATGTTCTAGGAATCACCATTGAAGCATTCATTTCATATCATTCATGTGATTCATCTTGCAAACTTAGACTTGAGCTTTCATTTGATTATTTCATTTGTAACTCTAAGTATGAAAGCTTTGATTTGTATATTTGTCTATTTGAGAGACATTCATTGTAAGCTTCATTATATATCCATTCTTGAGAGAAGAAGACCAAGAGGTGCTCTTGGCAAGGGAAAGCTTGTTTAAGCTATTGTAAGGGTTCTCTTTCTTAACCCATAAAAGAAAGAAGTTATCTCTCTAATGAGAGGATTTGGTAGAGCTCTCCACCTATAAGAGTGAGCAATGGTTACTTCTTATCCATCAAAAGAAGGAGAAACGAGATGGCTTCATTACAAGGTTGGTTCTTCACCCACAAGCAAGAACATGTAAATGTTTGCTCTCCACCCGTAAGGAGGAGTAATAGTGGAATCCTTGAGAGGTTTTCTCAAGGCATGGATGTAGGCCGAGATTGTACCGAACCATGTACATCGCGTGTCCCTTGGTTTGCAATTTCTCTAACTCTTACTCTCTTTATTTCCTTAACATTTTATATTTCATAATCTTAATACTTTATTTATGAATGCTATGGGATGGACATGTTATTTTGAATATATGAGGAAGATAGGATGAATGCTTAGAGTAGGTTAATTGTTTGATTGATTTTAGCTTAGAGTATATGTTCTCTACTAGCCTTTTATATAGCTAAAATTATGTTGCACGCTAAGTGTTTGATAAAATGCATATTCAACACATCCTTCACATTTAGAGTTTATATGCATACCAAGTGTTTGATATATTTGTTGTAAACTCTATAATGATGTGTTTTGTAACTTTTGCACCTTGAATGTTACTCACATCAATATTGTGCAAATGCTAGTTCTAAATGGTTAATTGAAATTGAATTCATTGAAGCTAAAATAATTCATTTGTTAAAGCAATCACTCAAGTGTAGTAAGATCATTGCTTTGCATTCTACACATTATGCAATTTCTACACTACAACTCACTAGAAGAGCATTCATCACAAAGAATCATATATGGCTCCAAACGAAAGAGACAAGTAAAAGAATCTTAGAATAGCTAAACCGAAAAAGTTTCATAGTTTGCCAATGACCCTATTCACCCCCCCTCTAGGGTCATTCCTTGGGTAACAGTTACTTTAGGGTTACTAGCCCACAGGTGACCTCCCTATGTGCGCACTAGACTATATAGAGGGACAATTCCTAGTAGGTTGAAAAATCCAGGATCGTTACAGGAGTCGACAAATGTAAACACTTGAGGTTCAATAATAATCCAAAACCAATATCCTCCATAACCTTCCCCTTCTCAGAGTTCAGTTTCGAAACTATTTCTATGAATTTCAGAATAGAGCTTCTATGGAAACCTGCCTTAATCTTGTATTCTTGCTTCTTCTAAACCATTCAAAAACTAATAACATTAACATTGAATTTTCAAATGTATATTATATACAATAAATACAAACACTCTAATTTAACACATTACCTTTTTTTCTCGATTTATTTCCAACATAATTTATAGACCTTCGGAATTCCATTTCAAGTAGACTTTTTTCCCCAAAATATGAAGCCTTCTCTTTACTACTCATTAAGTTCCATGCATCCCTAATTTTACTCTTTATTTTTTTTTTTTAAAGGCATCTTGATTTTTCCTGTGAAACCATGTTCTTCTCGGTATTTCTTCATAAATGCAGGTCTGATAAACCAAGCATAAGGATTTAAATACATATATATCACAAGTTACTTTTTATGTTCTCCATTGTAAAATTCATATAACTTGCCAATTTGTTCCAACATTTTTATGATTTTAGAATTCTAAATTGATCACCAATTCAAATAGGCAATTCATATAATTATTTAAAGTTAAGAATTATACATATACTAATTGTCTTGCTAACATAACCCAGCTCTGCTCCTTTATTTTTTGTTAGATTTATTTGAAGTTGAAAATTATACATATACATCACAAGTTATCTTTTATGTTCTCCATTATGAAATTAATATAACTTCCCAATTTGTTCCCACATTTTCATGATTGTACAATTTCAAATTAATGACCAATTCATATAATTATTTGAAGTTAGGATTTATAAAAAACTAACTATCCTGCTAACATAATATATTTCATTCCAATGATAGGAAAAGGGGAACTAAATTGAAACCAGATTTCAATGAGAAACTGAATATTAATATTTACTTAAACAAAATGAACACTCCACCAGGACGACGCGGCACAGTTTGTTTACTCTTCGCGGATGTCGTAGTGTTTACCTCGGGATAAAATTCTTCTTTATCTTTATCTGCCTCTTCAGGTGGCACATAATCATAATCATTGTCAGAGGCCATTTTAGAACCCTCACTAACCAAATGATTACATTTCCGAGTAGAAGAATGATCAGGGATGATTTTTTTTTTTTTTCTTTCGAACAGGTACAATTTTCTTTTTGTCCTTTTGCTTTCTTATGTGCTATATTCTTCATCCTAACCATTTCAAACTCTAAAAAATTCTGTGACCCAACTTCTTCAATTTCCACCAACAAATTTAATGAACCCAACAAGCCATAATTTGAAAGACAACAATTATGGTATCCATCCACTAACCGTGTGATTTTCAAACCCTAAAAAATACAGTGACCCAACTTCTTTGATTTCCACAAACAAATTTAATGAACTCAACAAAGCCACAACAATTGAACTCAGGCAACCTTAATTTCAGACCAACCACGAAAAGCCTCAGACCCAAGCTTCAGACGCAGCAGCATAGACCTTCCCTTGTTCTTCGTTGAGACCTTCCCTTGTTCTTAACCCAACACAGCCACATCAATTACACTCAGACAATCTTAATTTTAGACCAACCATGAAAAGCTTCAGACCTAAGCCTTAGACACAGCAGCATATACCTTCCCTTGTTCTTCGTTGAAAATGAAATAAGTGGTAAATGAAGTAAAGGGCTAAATGAAGTAAGGGTTAAATTGACAATTCCAAACAATATACCATATTATTATAACTTATATCGTATTTATATATAATGGTTAAAGTTTTTTTACCCATGTAATACAACTGAAATAGGAG